CAGGTTTAATTTGAGGGCATGTACATTCAAATTGGAGGAAGGGTTTAGGAACTACAGCTCTTAAGAATAACCATCCCCTCTTTTTTCAAGGGACCAAAAGTAGTTGGACAATTGAATCAAAAGCTGTTTCATGGCCAGGTGTGGGCTACTCCATTATTTCTTCAACAATTAAGCAGGTAAAAGGTCTGGAGTTGATTCTAAGTGTTGTATATGCATTTGGAATCTATGAACCTACATCATGCAAAGGAGCTATTCATGCAAGTGAAACAGGCCATTGTAAGGCTTCAAAAATTAAACAAATCCATCAGAGAGATAGCAGCAACATTAGAAGTGGCCAAATCAACAGTTTGGTACATTCTGAGGAAAGAAAAACACGCTGGTGAGCTCAGCAACATAAAAGGGCATGGACATCCATGTAAGACAACAGTGGTGGATGATCACAGGATCCTCTCTATGGTAAAGAAAAACCCATTCACAAGATCCACACAAGTGAAGGACACTCTCCAGGAGGTGGGCGTATCATTGTCAAAGTCTGCAATCAAGAGAAGACTTCACGAGCGCAAATACAGAGGGTTCACCACAAGGTGCAAACCATTCATAAGCCTGAAGAATAGAAACGCCAGATTAGACTTTGCCAAAAAACATCTAAAAAAGCCAGAGCAGTTCTGGAAAAGCATTCTTTGGACGGATGAAATTAAGATTATTCTGTACCAGAATTATGGGAAGAAAAAAGGGTGGAGAAGGCTTGGAACAGCTCATGATCCAGAGAACACAATGTCATCTTTAAAACATGGTGGAGGTAGTGTGATGGCAATGGCATACATGGCTTTCAGTGGCACTGGGTCATTGGTGTTTATTGATGGATGTGACAGAAGACAGAAGCAGCCGTATGAATTCTGCAGTGTTTAGAAATATACTGTCAGCCCAGATTCAGCCAAATGCAGCAAAGTTGATTGGATGGCACTTCACAGTACAGATGGACAATGATCCAAAACACACTGCAAAAGCAACCCTGGAACTTTTGAAGGAAAAGAAGTGGAATATTCTTCAATGGCCGAGTCAATCACCTGATCTCAACCCAATTAAGCATGCATTTTACTTGCTGAAGGCAAAACTAAAAGGCAGAAAGACCCACAAACAAAGAACAACTGAAGACAGCTTCAGGTAGAGCCTGGCAAAGCATCAGAAAGGAGGCAACCCAGTCTTTGGTAATGTCCATGGGTTCCAGACTTCAGGCAGTCATTACCAGTAAAGGATTCTCAACAAAATATTAAAAATGAACCTTTTTGCTTATGATTATATTAATTTGACCAATTGCATTTGGCCCCTTTAAATGGAGGGACTGTGTAGAAAAATGGTTGCAGTTCCTAAAATTTGTACTTGATATTTATGTTCAATCCCTTGAAGAAAAGCTGAAAGTCTGCACTTCAAATTCAGTTGGATTGTTTTGTTTTAATTTAGTCTGGCGGCATACAGAGCCAAAAGTATGAAAATTGTGCCTGTGTCCAAATATATATGGACGTAACTGTATATGCAACCAGAAAAAAAAAAAAAAAAAACCATACACAATAGGGATTTTCCATCGTGCAAACATTACTAGCAAACAAAATTGTATGATGAATTTTTGTGCAGATACCATTTTTACAGGGCAGCAAAGGGCAACCTTAGCTCTACCTGTCTCTGACAGATGAATGTGGGAGAAAAAAAAATCTGGTCATATTTGACCTGTAACTTTGAGTGCAATCCACGCAACCAATACATCATGCATATGCCACCAAACTGTAGATTTAAAGAATTATGTATAGCATTGCTTTAGTTAATACTAAGAAAACAACCACAAAGACACATAGTACAATTTTATATACAAAACATATGACCACTTTGTTTCCAAAATATATAAAAACATTTATTGAAGGGCTGAAGAAAATGCACAACACAGATAGATTTTGGGGAAAATGGCGTTTGTCTGCCTTGTATAGACGAACTGTAAATTATGAAGAAAGCCCTTACAGTTTGATAATACAAGTTAAAACACAATCTTTTTTTTTCCTCGATAAGAATCTACCCTCTTAATATTTTAGAAGCACAGTATACTTTACTGTGGCATGGAATTATACAGAAAATAAAACAATAGTATGCAAAATTTTACATGACATGAAAATAGCAAAATTACCATCCAAGAGATAGAGCTAAATGTATCCTGATTGTACTTCTGAAATATCCATAATATTTAGAAATGTACATACATTATGATGCTCCTCCATTTTGGGTTGATAAATTATGCTCATACATCATGTCTCAAGCCAAGCCAACTGATAAAAGGGGAGGCTTGCAAATGTCTAAAGAGTTGCTTGCTATATTTAAAATAAAGGGAATTCTAAATTATGGCAATCCAATTATTCTAATAATTCCTCACTGTATTCCAAACAGAAAAACTTTTGATTGGAAATACACATAAAAAATAAAGTAGGCATACGGTCCCCTTATTTTGCCAGGAACAGACATGCATAAACCACAAACAAAGGTCCTGACTTTCCTTAACAGAGAGACCACCCTGTGAAACTCTGAAGGGTCTATAGCAGGAGAATCTACTTTTAATTCAGAATGGAAAACGAGAACTCTAAAATGACCATGTAACTGCAATAAAATGTTCCTGTAATAGAACACACTTTAGACTTTCCTATGGTAGCACCTTTTTGTAGAATTTTTACTACTGTGCAAAGCCCAGAGGATTTTCATATCAGACACACTTCATGGTGCGTAGGATGCCTGTGCCCCCACCATAGACTGTGGTTTGCTCTGCCACTCCCCACATTACTACAGGACACAATAGAGACCTCAGGGCTGGTAAGTAGAGCCACAGAACACAACATAATTTCTGACAAACCAGGAATGTCAGAAATAATGATCCTTTGGGCAGTTTTGCACAGAAGTAGAGTTAAGAAACATTTTTTTTAAATGCCTTTAAAGGAAATCTATGGTCACAGCATACACTATCATTTTAGTGCACTGGAATTGTAACAGCAATCAAATCCAATATAGGATTACACAAATAATCTCCTTTCATATTGTGAATGCTGCCTGTCTGCTGGCCATCTCTTCCCACAACCTGCTGGATTCCCTGCATGCTTTGCGGCTTCTCCTCTGTTTACTTTCCGTTTCTAAGGACTATCCCATAGAACCATGCTGTCTGCAAGCAGTGATTCCTGTACTGACTCCTGCATCTTCTCCATCATCTCACTATTTTAGAAGACCGGCTCTATGACACAGCACTGCCTATCAACAGGGCATAGTGAATACATGTCATGTGTGTGGAGCTGCACAACGGAGTAGGCTAGAATTAATTGAAATACAATGTACAAATGAATATATGAATTTACACTTTGACCATAGAAATACTTTAAAACAGATTTTCTTCATTAATGAAGACAGACTGACTAGCTACATATAGCTAGCTTAACAAGATTTTCTAGGAATCAGAAAAATAATGGGAGCTTTCCACGTTTGTATAGGCTACAGCTCTCAGCCTTTCAATAAAAATTTTCAGTAAAAAACAGAAACAAAGGGAAAAAAAAAACAGTCACAACTTAAACAGAACAGACAAAACTGTTTTATTAATAACACAGCATTAAACAGTCAACTGTGCTGTAACACACAGCAACCAGACATGTATACTGTTTAGTTGGTATTTGACTCTTGAGATGATAAAAAAAAAAAAAAAACGAGTGGTTGCTGTGGGTCACAAATTTTGATAGTCCATCTTATTAAATACGTCTTTGTATCTGCATATAACAATTGATCCTTAATTAAAAAAAAAAAACAAAACAAAACAAAAAAGAAACAAAAAAGAAAAAAAAAAAAAACAGATTAACAATTTACTTGTCAGAGGGTTCTCCTTTGTGTGGCAGAAACCACTGTAAACTTTTGTAACTGAGTTTTAGTGTTAATGTTCCTCCTTCATTTCTATTTTTTTTTTAATTGAGGGGAGATTGAGCGAGAGAGAAAGAGAGAGAGAGAGCAAGAAAGTGAAACACAGAGAAAATGGAAAGAAATAGAAAAGGAAAGGTGAGTGTGAGAAATGTGCGATAAGCGGTAGGAAAGGAGGGAGGAAGAAAGAGAAAGTGGGAAAAAAAGGGAGGAGGACCAGAGAGTAGAGATGGAAGTGGGAAATAAATAGAGGAAAAAGGGGATGAGAGAGGAGAACATGTGTAAAAGAGTGTAAAAGGCGTAAGTGGCAGAAGGGAAGGGGGAGGAAGCAGAGAAAACGTGTGCGAGAAAGAGGGAGCAAATATTGGCTGCAGAAGAGAAAAGGAAAGGAAGGAGAGAGAAAGAAAAACGGGGGCTGGGAGAGTAAAAATGGTAGTAGAAGAAAGAGGAAGGAGGGATAAAGAGAGAGAAAAAAAAGAGAGAGGAGAAAGAAAAAGAAGCAGGAGGGAGAAAAAAAAACGGATCATCAAATGATCTGATTTGTTTCTTGGTCGTTAAACATTGCATTGCTAATGAACTTTGTGCAAAAGAAAGACTTTTTTTTAAATTTCAGCTAGGTTTACATTATTATACACACAAATATAAAAAAAAAATAAATAGTGGATTACAGTGAATCCCACTTTCAAGGTACTTAAAATGAAAGTATATTAAAATGCTCACGTAAATGTTACCAATACATGTAATGTCCATACCACCTTGGAAATGATATTGTGGCAATATTTGTAGTATTACTGAAATCTTAGACAATCCTTGTTGTTTCCTCTTTTTTGCCAACGATTACCAACTGAAAATGAGCCTGAGAAACTTTACTAAAAGGTGGCCTCTTGTAAACATCTCCTTTTGAGGACCAGTAGCAACTGGGAGCATCCTTACCTAGAACAAACCATGTAATACTTAAATATATAATTTATTTCCAGGTTTCTGTTTTTCTTTTTTTTTTTGTATGGAAAAGTTTCCCAGTCATTCAGGTAACAATTCATTTCTAGCTATGAGTTTAGAGTCCACTGATAATACTAAGTCTTCTGTTCTGCTGTTGTGGCAGCTTGTAGGGGTGCATCTGGTTTTACAATTGGTGGTATGTGATCAGATATTCCGGGTATGCCTGTACAGAGAATTAAACAAAATATTACACAATAAAAAGCACGGATTTCACATCAATGCAATTCAAATTTCTCTCACATTGGAATCACTACCTGAGCATGACTACGTTTACCATGACATGAGCGTTGGAACTGCTAAACAAAATTACATTTTAATATGAAACCTGGTAACAACAATTACATCGGAAGGCTAAGTACACAGATTACCATCTTCAGATCACCGCCATTGAACATCTAAGTAGCTTCTATGTTTTCTATTAGTAAAGACAGTTTTCTTCCTCTTAAATAGTTTATATTTTATTTTATATTAATTTGTGGTTTTATTTTTTTCCCTAGGTGCTAAACCAGACCTTCACCCTCAGTGTGTACATTCTCTGGTCTAATTCTTTTTAGCCTCTCCTTTAACCTCTTCATGCCAGCCGCACAAAAATGTGCGGCCTCCCGGCGTCTGGGCCTAGACGCCGAGCGACCACGCATTTGCGTTCTTTTAAAAAAAACCATATGTGTCCTCTGAGCGCGCGCCCTGCGTGCTCCCAGCACACATGTCCGGTACTCACGGGACCTTTCCCGATCATGTGACCGCCGTGCCGGCGCCTCACATGACCCTAAACACTGCCCCACCTCCTGGAACCCTTAAAGGGCCGGGAGGCGCCGGCGTGAAGGGGTTAACAATATTTTCTATAAGTGCCTTTTTACACTTTAATGTTCCCCCGCTTTTCTTTCCTACACGTGAATGACGTGGCTAGGACTGCCCAATGTCTGCAGACTTCTGGAATATGAATGTTACATATCTCAAAGGTCTTCAGGTAGCGCTGGCTGCACAGGCATGCTGCCCATACCACGCATGCGTAGCCAGTATTCTAGCCAGGGAATCAAACAAAAAAATTCCCAAGTAGTCACTGAGTACATGCTCATAGCATAGTGAATCCAGGAAGTAAAGCGAAAGAAATTCCTCTGCTCTTACTGCAAATAGCTACAGTGATAAGAGATGTGAAATGGTAAACACAAAGGTATTCTGGTAAAGCCTGTATTTGAAATCCTTGTGAAGTGGTAAAAGTATTAACTTTTAAAGGCGGCATTATTTTATTTTGAACAATTTAGGTCAAGTTCTTATTTAGGGTCAAATGTCAGACGGGGTTCTAAACTAAAACATGGACTACTTGTTAGTTCCTGAAGGGTTACATGCCATCTTTATTACTCTCATAAGGGGTGTATCAAATGCACTTCTGGCTTTTGCTCTGTTGATAGGATTACCTACATTTCTGTCACCTATTCCTTTATAAAATGTATTTAAAAAAAAAAGGCTGTGAATGAGAGCACGGTAGCCACAAGTGCAAGAAATTACATTCTTGGGGTTGTTCTGTAACCCACAGTTGATACAAGTAAGAAACATATTTTTTCCTTACAGTTTTAAAAACTTTTGGATAGTTACAGATTAAAATAGAAGGTAAAATGAAAAACAGTAAAGTGGCTATAAAGGCTAAATGTTTTATACTGTCATACATTCAGAACAAGCAGCTTGCACTGGGGGCACCCAGTAAGGGGGAGGAGCCAGGAGCACTGGTGGGGTAACCAAGAAGATGAGAATCGGGCTGCATTGCGCAAAACCACTGCACAGAGTAGGCAAGTATGGCTTGTTACTTAAAAGAAAAAAAATCAAACCTTTACAATCACTTTAATTATAAATTGGCTTGTTATGGACTGTTATAACAGCTTTACAATAAGAATAATTTTCATTTTTCCTTTAAATTTTTGTACACAGTGATAATGGCATCTGAATGATATAACCAACAGTATTTTTTAACTTTGTACAGAAAATCAATCAAGAGAGTTATGCTCCTTTTGAATAATCTAAATTTTGAACAGGGTGGATCGCCTGATAGCACATGAGCAACCCGGTGTATACACCAGAAATACTGGACACTTCACACACACACACAGTTCGGTCCATATATATATTTGGACACAGGACATATTTTAGATTTTTTTCAGGTATTAACTAAAACATATTCAAGCTATAGTTATATAATGGACATGGGCTGAAAGTGCACATTCTCAGGTTTAATTTGTGGGCATGTACATCTAAATTGGAGGGAGGGTTTAGGAATAACAGCTCTTAAGAGTAGCCATACCCCCTATTTCAAGAGACCAAAAGTAATTGGACAATTGAATCAAAAACTGTTTGATGGCCAGGTGTGGGCTACTCCATTATTTCTTCATCAATTAAGCAGGTAAAAGGTCTGGAGTTGATTCTAAGTGTTGTATATGCATTTGGAATCTATTGCTGTGAACCTACATCATCCGTTCAAAGGAGCTGTCCATGCAAGTGAAACAGGCCATTGTAAGGCTTCAAAAACAAAACAAATCCATCAGGGAGATAGCAGCAACATTAGGAGTGGCCAAATCAACAGTTTGGTACATTCTGAGGAAAGAAGAATGCACTGGTGAGCTCAGCAACATAAAGAGGCATGGACGTCCACGGAAGACAACAGTGGTGGATGATCGCAGGATCCTCTCTATGGTACAGAAAAACCCATTCACAACATCCACACAAGTGAAGGACACTCTCCAGGCGGTAGGCGTATCATTGTCAAAGTGTACAATCAAGAGAGGACTTCAAAAGAGCAAATACAGAGGGTTCACCACAAGGTGAAAACCATTCATATGCTGAAGAATAGAAAAGCCAGATTAGAATGCCAAAAAATATCTAAAAAAGCCAGACCAGTTCTGGAAAAGCATTCTTTGGACGGATGAAACTAAGATTAATCTGAACCAGAATGACGGGAAGAAAAAAAGTGTGGAGAAGGCTTGGAACAGCTCATGATCCAAAGCACACAAGGTCATCTGTAAAACATGTTGGAGGCAGTGTGATGGCATGGGCATGCATGGCTTCCAGCAGCACTGGGTCATTGGTGTTTATTGATGATGTGACAGAAGCAGCCGGATGAATTCTGCAGTGTTTAGAGAGATATTGTCAGGCCAGATTCAGCCAAATGCAGTAAAGTTGATTGGATGGCGCTTCACAGTGCAGATGGACAATGATCCAAAACACACTGCAAAAGCAACCCAGGAGCTTTTGAAGGAAAAGAAGTGGAATAACTAAAGGCAAAAAGACCCACAAGCAAAGAACAACTGAAGACAGCTGCAGTTAGAGCCTTGTAAAGCATCAGAAAGGAGGAAACCCAGTCTTTGGTAATGTCCATGGGCTCCAGACTTCAGGCAGTCCTTGCCAGTAAAAGATTAACAAAATATTAAAAATTAACATTTTATTTATGATTATATTGATTTTCCAATTACTTTTGGTCCCTTGAAAAAGGGGGGATGGCTATTCTTGAGAGCTGTAATTCCTAAACCCTTCCTCCAATTTGGATGTACAGTTGTGTTCAAAATAATAGCAGTTTGTTGAAAAAAGTGAATAAAGCTCAAAATCCTTCTAATAGCTTTTATTTCCATACACACAAATGCATTGGGAACACTACACATTCTATTCCAAATCAAAACATGAAGAAAAATATATCAAATGTGTGTTGTTCCTCTAAAGAAATTGAAGAAAAGTGACTATTAGACTGTTAAAAAAAAATAGCAGTGTTTGTATTCTTCTTTACAAACTCAAACATTCACTATATAAACTGAAAAATGTTTGACGATTTTGCTTTCCTTTGAATCACTTAATATTTAGTTGTATAAGCACTGTTTCTGAGAACTGCTGTACATCTGTGTTGCATGGAGTCAACCAACTTCTGGCACCTGTGAACAGGTATTCCAGCCCAGGATGATTGGACTACATTCCACAGTTCTTCTCTATTTCTTGGTTTTGCCTCAGAAACTGCATTTTTGATGTCACCCCACAAGTTTTCTATTGGATTAAGATCCGGGGATTGGGCTGGCCACTCCATAACGTCAATCTTGTTGGTCTGGAACCAAGATGTTGCACGTTTACTGGTGTGTTTGGGGTCGTTGTCTTGTTGGAACACCCATTTCAAGGGCATTTCCTCTTCAGCATAAGGCAGCATGACCTCTACAAGTATTCTGATGTATTCAAACTGATCCATGATCCCTGGTATGCCATAAATAGGCCCAACACCGTAGTATGAGACACATCCCCATATCATGATGCTTGCGCAACCATGCTTCACTGTCTTCGCAGTGTACTGTGGCTTGAATTCAGTGTTGGGGGTCGTCTGACAAACTGTCTCTGGCCACTAGACCCAAAAAGAATCTATTACTCCTGCTAGTAAATTATTTGCCATGTAGAAATATCATTTCTACCAAAAACAGTGATTGATCAGGTTAGTGATGTCTGACTGCTATTATTTTGAACACAACTGTACATACCCTCAACTTAAACCTGAGTGTGCGCACTTTCAGCCCACATCCATTATATAAACACATTGCATATCCCTGTATCCCTGAAAGATGTAAGCCAGAAGCAATCCTTGCAGTATTAATGAATTGCAGTCAAATTTGTTGTCATATGTTGATTCATATGCCATGATGAATTGCAAATGCTAAATAACAGAACCAAACAAAGTATTGCATACCTGTTCTCCTCTGTAGATGACATATTCTGCATATGCCAGTCCATTTACACTTGGCCTACCAATAACAGAGTGATGTCCTGGAGGAGCATGGGCCATTTTCATTGTGCTGAATTGCAAAAACGATTTGCCAAGTGTCACTCTGCAGAATAACATTTGTCTGAGGAAAAAAAGAACACAAACAAAAGACAACAGTTTAGATGAATTTCACAACACTTTCAAATTTGGCTTTGAAGATTTACTTTGCATTGCAGCCTTTCATTCCAACTTGGTAGAAGTAAAATGTCCATAATTTGTATCTCTGGTAATGATCACAATGGTGCTAAGAATTTGCTTAATCTTACACCAATTTGCCACAATATTTGTTTGCGAACCCTGTGCTTCAATTAGAACCATAAGCAAAACTTTTTTTCACATTGGATAGAGCAAGGGAGGGTTAAAACAGATGGGTTTTTTTTTGCCTTTTGTGTCCCATTGTGGAGATTTCCCTTCACTTTCTGTCCAATTACCATAACAGGAAGTGAGAGGAAATCCCTACAAATTAAAGGAATTCCTTGAGGACCCCCAGGTCACCATAACTGAAGTCCCCACTGGAAAATTTCCCCTCAATTACTTTTCTGGGGACAACCCAAAATTTAGGATTTTCTTTTACTTTCAATGATGATGGTAAACAAGACAAATAGGGAGGGTGAATCTTTTTAATTAGACCACAGACAGCAATAAAACCTTACAGGTGTTCTAATCTATCACCACTCTATCCAAAGCTAAAGAAAAAGTTTCACTTCATTTATAAAGCTCAGTGAAAAGTCACTGAGCAAATGAAACACTATCTATTCCAATAGTAGATCAACCTCATAATCTCATTGTTAATTACCCTGAACCATGCAAGGACAGCTCCTATATGTCTAGTTAGGACTCCCAGTCTGTTGGGAGCAAAACAAGTAAATGTTTAGGCCGGGTTCACTGTGGTTTGGCTACAGCATGGGTATATGCACGTGTTTTCTTGCGTTTTACCCACGTTTTTAGCTGAGGTTATAACCTTCTATTAGATTGCATGTTTTTGCCACATTTTTTGAAAGCGCGCCAAAGATGAAGCATGCAGGACTTTTGCTGCGCTTTCAGAAAATCTAGCAAAAATGTGCACTCTAATAGAAGTCTAAGGGACCAAAGTTGGTTAAAACACATGAAAACTGCAAATACACCTGCACTACGGCCAAACCACAGTGCAGCAGTGTGAACCCAGCCTTCGCAAAGTTAAATAAAAGACACAAGTCCATCTAGTTCAACCAACAAAAAAAATAAACAGAAAACCTTCATTTACACAATCCTTTACCCACAGAGGAAGGCAAAAAAAAAAAAAAAAACCTATGAAGCATGGTCCAATTTGCTTCAACCAAGGAAAAAAATCCTTCCTGATAAAAAAATCTCTAGAAGGCAAGCGATATTCCCTGGATCAACAATCTCTCATGTTGTTAACTTAAAATGTTAATATCCAGTTATATTTTATGCATTTAGGAATGCATCCAGCACATTTTAAAACAATCCGAGCTGGCCAGAACTAGTTCTCGAGAGAGTCTATGCCACATTTTCATAGCTCTTACTGTGAAAAAAGCCTTTCTGTATGTGAAGGTTAAATTAAGTTCACGATATGGACCACCTATGTATTTACACATGGTGAACAAATCCCTGCTTAAACACCTCTTCTCCAGAGAGAATAAATTCAGTTCAGATAATCTTTTCTGATAGCTGAGCTCCTCCATTCCTCTTATCAGTTTTTCAGTTTTAGTGCCCTTCTCTGTATTTTCGCCAACATCCTTTTTGTGAACTAGTGCCCAAAACTGAACTGCATGTTCCAGGTGAGATTTAACTAATGACGCGTACAGCGCACATCCTTCTGGGGCTGCATAGGTGAGGTCTGCTCTAGAACATACACCATTTATTGACTTGAGTAATGACTATGTTAGGGACCCTTAACAGTGACATTCTGACAAGTTTTGTCTTAATGCAGAGAAATAAAGCTTAGCATTTTAAAGTCTTTAAGAAACAAACCTATGGCAAATATAACATGATCTGTCCTTGTGTGTTGGGCAGCCAGTTCCACCACCTATGCCGTATACATATTGGTTGCTTTTGGAAGAGTTTTCTGCGAAATAGATACCAGCTCCAAACATTCCCCCAATGTATGCATGTCGCTCATCAAAGCCTTTGTGAATGATCGCATTAATAAATGGAGATCCTAATAAAAAAAAAAAAAAAGACACAAAACTCAAACATAGAAAATCTTTACTAGAGATTATGTTGAAAATAAGTAAAGATTACATTAATAAGAAAAGCCAAGCTCATTAAACAATTGCTTTGTGTGCATTTTACATAAAAGGTACAAGTGTTGAAAATATGTATTTGGTACACATGGGCCACAAAATTCAAGATGGGTTAAATCAATTTTCCTTATTAATGGCTAATGCACATAGGCCATGGACTACATAAAAAAAAAAAAAAAAAAAAGTTGTACATATGTAACCTTTGTGTTTTGACATACAAACTCAGTAAAATAAGAATTTTAACTTATTTTACAGCCTATATCTTGGAGTACAATACGTGTGTTCATAAATCATAGGTTATAAGAAGCTACATTCAGGCGATTGGACACTGGCAAAAACCACTCGAGACTTCAGAGTTTTTAGAAATCAATAAGGACTGATCAAGAGACAGAGGAGAGGGGCCTATGTTGTGTACTGTACTCCAAGATAACAAATTTACAGGTATGTAAAAATTCCTATAATCTTAATTGTACAGTACAGGACCCAAGCAATAAACCAAGGGGTGAGCAACAACATAGCAATCGTCAACAGGCCCACAAGTAGACAAGGGTTAAAGAACCCAAACAAAAAACACTCAGATGGCAACTTGAAGCACCTTGTGTTGGCCAATACTCGCATTAGCCAAAGCCTAAACATCCACCAGTCAGAACTTTGAAAACATGTGGACAGAGGACTCGGTGTTGGCCTGGCAAATCTGAGAAGCAGATGCTTGATCCTAAAAAGCCTAAGAGAAACCAACAGCTCTGATGCAATGTGCTCTCATAGGAAAAGGAGCAACTTTGTCACCAAAGGTGTATGCCATGTAAATGGGTTGTCTGATTCACCTAGCAAGATGCCCTCTACGAGGGCCCAAAGGCAGGACAAGGAGAACTCAGTCCTGCAAACAGAAGATGTGGTTCTCATACCCCAACAGTCCTGACTACACCTAGGCAATATAGGATGATTTCCTTTGCACGTTTTGGGGCAGGACATAGGAAGGAACAACAGTGTCTTCACTGAGATGTGAAGAATAGACCACTTTGGGTTGGAAGAAAGGTTTTGGTCTCAAAATCATTTTAACCTTGTGTAAAAATGAAAAAACATCTTTTCAGGAAAGAGCTGCCAATTCAGAAACATGCCTAATAGATATAATGGCTACCAGGAAAGCAACACGCGAGGTTTTCCAAAAGAATTGGTTCAAGTGGGAAGGGGGGGAGGATCTCTGGAAAACAGATAGCACAAGGTTAAGATCCCAAGGTGACACAGGAGGTTAAATTGTGAGATTTATATAAGAAACTCCTTGAAGAAATGTCTTGCTGGGTGATTGTGAGGCAAGAGGTTTCTGGGACAAAATGGATAAATGGTCCTCATTTGGGACCTTGCGGAAGGAAAATATTGGCTTGGGTTGTATCCCAGATTAGACCCAGGTACTAGAGATGGTGTGAGGGCTGGAGAGCAGACTTTAGAAGTTTAAAGGAACGGAATCATCTTCTGGACTTTGCTAAGCAGGTTGTAGCTAAAACGTTTGTCCATGTAACCTGTGACATAAATATCTGGATTTGAAGAAGAGCCAGAAGCAAGAACAATTTATGAACATTGGGGGTGCAGGGGATAGTCTGAATGTCAGTGCTGGTCTCCCCAGGGCTTTTTTTCCCCAGCCTGAACAGAGTTCCACCACCTCTGGGGCAGTGGATGTTCACAGCCACTCTAGTGTCCCGCCGACAGCTTGCACACTTCTACTATAAGTTGTAGCTGCTCTTTGGCAGCAGCAACTCTCTCCGTTACCCTCTAGGTAGGGTAGAGAGGATTTTAGAGAAGAAATAACAGCTCTGTAATGTTAGCAAAAGTGAGTTTTGGGAGTTAACTGGCAGGTGAGATATGCAATCCTTAACTCTGCATCCTTTACACAGTGAACTCATTTACTTTGTATCCTGAACATAGCACACTATGTACCGTATTTTTCGCTCCATAAGACGCATTTTTTTTCCCCCCAAAAAAGAGGGGAAAATGTCAGTGCGTCTTATGGAGCGAATATAGAGCGGCCGGTCCGGTATTTCCACCGCCGCCGTGCAGAATACCGGGCTGGCCGCTCAGCTCTGCAGCGGGACCTTATGGAGAGGACTGCTGACCTTTGGGGAGGTGGGGAGCGGGTACCTGAATTGGACAGGTACCCGCTCTTACTTCTTTGATCTTACCTGTTCCTCTATCCAGCGGCGCGCTGTCTTCCCAGCTTCTGTAGCATGACAGCCGGGTGCCAAGTGCGCATGCGCAAGAAGCGGTGCTTTTTGTAAATGGTAAGGCGGTACCTGGGACACATGACAGATCCCAGAAGCCGCCGGACCAATCACAAAGCACAAGTGCTTCTCGCTCATGCGCACTGGGCACCCGGCTGTCATGCCGAGCGCCATTACAGAAGCCGGGAAGACAGCGCGCGGCTGGATCGAGGAACAGGTAGGATCAAACAAAAACTCTGCAGAAGAGCGGGTACCTGTCATATTCAGGTACCCGCTCCCCACCTCCCCAAAGGTCAGCAGTCATCTGTGCTGTCCGCAGTCTCCGGCCATCCCTGTGCTGTCCGCAGTCTCCGGCCATCCCTGTGCTGTCCGCAGTCTCCGGCCATCCCTGTGCTGTCCGCAGTCTCCGGCCATCCCTGTGCTGTCCGCAGTCTCCGGCCATCCCTGTGCTGTCCGCAGTCTCCGGTCATCCCTGTGCTGTCCGCAGTCTCCGGTCATCCCTGTACTATGTCTGCAGTCCATTAGTTCAGAATTTTTTTTCCCCTGTTTTCTGCCTCTAAAACCTAGGTGCGTCTTATGGTCCGGTGCGTCTTATGGAGCGAAAAAATACGGTAACTGCACTGTGTACATAACGCACACCTTAACTGCGTTCTGTACGTAGTTCACTTCTGAGCCCTGTACACAGCGCAATCCTTAACTTGCAAATGTTTGTTGAAGATCTTGCGGTCCAGAATAGGTTGGATGTCTCTGCTTGGCATTGGCATTGGCAATGTAAAAAGGTTTGCAAAGAAGCCTTGAAACTTCTCCCACAACAACAAAGATGTGGGTCACGTTTTGCGGTACTGTGATATTATACTGTTGTTTCTAACACTACCTATAGTTCTCCATTTTACACCTAAATTGTTTTTATATATTGTTGCCAGGTATACAGATCTTTTTACCATTATACTATAATGTTTTTTAACACTGAATTTATTTTATTAATTTTTTTGTTTTTAATTCAATTGCATCATTTATGTAGTTATTTTCTGCATATACGGTTTTATTAACTCCCATGATCCCCTTCCCCCTTTTTTGGGCTCGAGGGGAGGGGCTTTGCTATAGGAGGCACTGACTGCAGACATATAAAGCAAGACCGGAATTTAGGCTGGCCACAGCTCTGAGAAAAGGGCTTCATCCCCGAAACGCGTCAGCAGGCCAACCGCACCATCAGTCGGACACTCTGCCATCCTTGTGGCCATCTCTATGGCCTTATAGGCTTTACATACATGTTTGTGAGTATATTTTGTCCTTTTATATTTTTAATAAACCTTGGATAATGCACTAGGTGTTTGCATGCTAGAAAAAAGCATACAGGTGGTGCAAACTGCAGCGAGCAGTGCAGCAACAGCACACCAGTAGCACTCCTCAGGACAGGCTGTAGTGATGCTGCCTCCCCTTCACCAGCTGCACACTGCCCAAAAGGGTCCCTGCATTAAGGGAACAATTAAATGAACACAGCCACATAAGGAACGTCGACTGGCAGAGGCACTCACCAAAATACAGGCTGCAGAGCTAATTTAAAGCCAAATCCCAATTTAAACCCCACAGAGGCCTTCAGAGACACAACCCCCTCAGGGGATTGCCACCCTGGACCTGCAGAGCACCCTGTCAGTGACATTTAGGATTAGAGTTACCCTTAGTTAGCACTGCCGGCAAGATCGAGTGCTGACCAGCAACACTAAAAGCTGCCCCAAATCTTCTTAGCAGGATCTGGGTACTGTCCTTCTTGGCCCCAGGGACAAAAGTGACAAATCTGGATAAAGCCTTTCCCTACCTCTGCAGGGGTGTATGGAACATCAATCACCTACAGGCACTAGCACATATCTGGGCGGGAAATCCACATAAGGAACTTCCACCCAGGGAAGCCCTCGCCAATACAGGCTGCAGGGCTAATTTGAAGCTCAATCTCTTAAACACCAAAGGGGCCTTTCAGAGACACAACCTCCCTTCAGGAGATTGCCACCCTGGACCTACAGAGCACCCTGCTAGGATTACAAGTACATGGTTATCATTGCCGGCAAGATCGAGTGCTGACCAGCAACACTACAGGCTGCCCCCAATCGTCTCAGCAGGATCTGGTTACTGTCCCTTTGTGCCCCAAGGCCAAAAGTGACCAATCTGGATAAAGCTGTTCCCTAACTCAGCATGAGTGTATGGAACAGGCAGCATAAAAAAAAACCAAAAAAAAAAAACCATAGGCTGAAGACCATAGTAAAAGATCTTCAGAAACATTCCACAGGCACATCCATCACCTAAAGACACTGGCACAGATCTAAGGCTTAGACAAGTTGGGAAAGGGTATACCTGGACTGGGAATCCTACTTTAATGGCCAGTGTACATTCACCAGAAGGTGGCAGCATAACCCAAATAGTCAAGAATATGAAGATGCCCTGTGTCCTGTGATGTACGATTACAGGAGAAGTACAGCTAAAGCTTTTTTTGGCTGCACTTCTGTAAATCAGCTGAAATCACTCAGCCGGTCCAGGCAGTTGGGATCCACCTCAGAGTCTGTAGTGGCACCTGGCTAAGCCACTCAGCGAAGCACTGAGAGCCTAAGCCAGCCGCTCTCTCCCCTCCACAGCCCAGAGATCCAGTGAGTTTAGGTGGGGCTGAGCAGACAGCAGTGACTGACATTCCCGCTCTCTGCTCAGAGTGGAGAGGAGAACTCAGCGATCATGGGATCGCTGAGTTCTCACCTTTAGAACTGGTGGGGGACAGGTGCAGCATTGGGCCGATTCTGCATCCACCTAGTAAGGGTAAAGTATAATGAGGGGGAAAAAAAAAGCCCTACTTCTCTTTTAAGTATGCACTGAACCATTCAGTAGAGTGCATAGTATCCTTGAACAAATAAAAACCCTGACCAAAAAGACAATGAAGTAAATGTCTAAGTAAAAGTAACCGAGCCTCAGAGAACCTCCTCATGGATTTCAAAGAAAAAAAAAAACCAAAAAAAAAACATACATACATTCTGGAAAAGCGAGACATACCATGAAAAAGCATCCGTTCATTATGGTGGTTGTGGTTTTCTTCAGACACTTCTTTTTGGCGATGACAAAACCGCTCTCTGAGCTTTTTGTTCACTACTTTTTGAATCTGTTTTCACCCCAGAAATAAAACACAAAAAGAAAGTAGAATATTCAGAAGACAAGAACTGAAAATTTCTACTATTTTCCTGACCTTTTTCATATTTACACCATAAAAATATCATGCTTGCTTAAGTATATAGTTAGGTCCATATATATTTGGACACAGGCACAATGTTCATACTTTTGGCTCTGTATGCCACCAGAATAAATTAAAACAAAACTACCCAAATGAATATGAAGTGCAGACTTTCAGCTTTAATTCAAAGGGTTGAACATAAAAGTATTACTTAACCCACAACAGTGAAATCGTTCTGTATATGCAGTAAAGCATGCTTGTTATACTCACTGTGGAACCTAAGGAGTTAATCCTCTACATTGTGTTAAAAGGCTGTTTGATCCTTTCTTCTCTGCACCCCCTCTAGTTGAAATGTCCACCCGATACAGACTGAATCCATAGTCACATGCACAGTGCAGTGTGGATTGCTAGGTGTTTTTTTTTTTTTTTCCCTTTCTTGGGACAGTGCATGTGATCAGCACAGGGCCAATCAGCACTGTCCAGACAGAGGGTCAGAGGTTTCACATCCTCCTAAAGCAGAAAGAAAACTCCTACAAGCTTTAACCAGTGCTCTGCTGAACACTGACAGAAGTCACAAGACTGCTCTAACTGCTGATGAGAAAAGGTATTTACCAGTTTATGTTTACTAAAAGAATTGCATTTCCATGTGCTGTGTACTGTGGGAGACCAGATATAGTGAATACAGGGTCCTGGGTTTAGTATAAATTAAATATCAAGTACAAATTTTAGAAACTGCAACCATTTTTATACACAGTCTCTCCATTTTCAGGGGCTCAAATGTAATTGGACAAATGAATATAATCATAAATAAAATGTTCATTTTTTAATTTTTGATGAGAATCCTTTACTGGCAATGACTGCCTGAAGTCTGGAACCCATGGACATTACCAAAGACTGGGTTGCCTCCTTTCTGATGTTTTGCCAGGCTCTAACTGCAGCTGTCTTTGGTTGCTCTTTGTTTGTGGGTCTTTCTGCCTTTAGTTTTGCCTTCAGCAAGTGAAATGCATTCTCAATTGAGTTGAGATCAGGAGACTGACTCGGTCATTGCAGAATATTCCACTTCTTTTCCTTCAAAAGCTCCTGGGTTGCTTTTGCAGGGTGTTTTGGATCATTGTCCATCTGTACTGTGAAGTGCCGTCCAATCAACTTTACTGCATTTGGCTGAATCTGGGCTGACAGTATATCTCTAAACACTGAGTTCATCCAGCTGCTTCTGGTTTTGTCACATCATCAATAAACCCCAATGACACAGTGCCACTGGAAGCCATGCATGCCCATACCATCACACTGCCTCCACCATGTTTTACAGATGACCTTTGGATCATGAGCTGTTCCAAGCCTTCTCCACACATTTTTCTTCCAGTCATTCTGGTACAGATTAATATTAGTTTCATCCGTCCAAAGAATGCTTTTCCAGAACTGGTCTGGCTTTTTTAGATGTTTTTTGGCATGGTCTAATCTGGCTTTTCTATTCTTCAGACTTATGAATGGTTTGCACCTTGTGGTGAACCCTCTGTATTTGCTCTCGTGAAGTCTACTCTGATTGTAGACTTTGACAATGATATGCCCACCTCCTGAAGAGTGCCCTTCACTTGTCTGGATGTTGTGAATGGGTTTTTCTTTACCATAGAGAGGATCCTGCTATCATCCACCACTGTTGTCTTCCATGGACGTCCATGCCTTTTTATGTTGCTGAGCTCACCAGCGCGTTCTTCTTTCCTCAGAATGTACCATACTGTTGATCTGGCCACTCCTAATGTTGCTGCTATCTCTCTTCATTTTTGAAGCCTTACAGTGGCCCGTTTCACTTGCAAGTACAGCTCCTTGGAATGAATGATGTAGGTTTACAGCAATAGATTCCAAATGCAAATACCACATTTAGAATAAACTCCAGACCTTTTACCTGCTTAATTGATGAAGAAATAATGAAGAAGTAGCCCACACTTGGCCATGAAACAGCTTTTGAGGTTCATTTGTCCAATTACTTTTGGTCCTTTGAAAAAGGGGGGATGGCTACTCTTAAGAGCTGTAATTCCTAAACCCTTCCTCCAATTTGGATGCACATACACTCAAATTAAACCGGAGTGTGCACTTTCAGCCCATATCCATTATATAACTATAGTTTTTGAATATGTTTTGGCAAATACCTAGAAAAAAAAAACAAAAACAAACAACTAAAATTGTGCCTGTGTCCAAATATATATGGACCCAACTGTAATTTTACTACATGGGAGAATAAAAAAAAAAAAAAAAATAGAAATAAATATACATATATATATAAAAAATTAAGACCAATACTCTGTGTGGTTAAAAGAAAATTCCTTGTTTCAATGTATATTGTATGTATACATATATAGGCTCTGCTTTCTTATTTCCTGTCGTGTTATCTCAACAGTTATGCAGGACTAAAGCATGAATTAAATGGATAAACTCTTCTCCTATTGGTTAATCTACAAATATTTAAATACAACAAAAATATGGAACAGCTAGCGTGGAAAAATGTCAGTCACATCAGCTTTACTTCATATTCAACACTGCTGTAATAACTCAAAATAAGTGCTAACTAAAAAATATACTATACTTTTGCTTATGTGGTGATGGCAAGGTAACTTGGAGCTAATTAAAACTGAAATTACTCCAGTAAATTTACATTATCCTAGACATTTCTGCTGAAAATTATAAAATATACTTAACTGCCTGCATACAGTCATGGGCAAAAATGTTGGCACTCCTGCATTTCTGTCAGATAACATATCACTTCGCCCAGAAAATTGTTGCAATTACAAATGTTTAAGCATTCTCATTTTTATTTATTTTGCTTGTACTAGTATGACACAAAAAAGCGGAGGAATAAAAAGCCAAATCTGATACATTCAACGCAAAACCCAAAAAATGGAATGGACAAATTTTTTGGCACTTTATCAAAATTGTAAGAAATAATTGCATTCCAAGTTTGTGATGCTCCTGTAATTTGTACTAAAACTCCCCTTTATCAATTAACAGGTGCTGACAATATAGAAATCACACTGGCAACCAGTTAAACTGGTGAAAAATTGACTCAACCCTTCAGTTGTGTGTCTCTGTGCCACATGGGGCATATAAGAGAAAAAGCAACAAAGAATTGTCTGAGGATTTGAGAAGATAAATTATGGAAAAGCATGGACAATCTCAAGGTTACAAGTCCATCTCCAGATATCTTAATGTTCTTATGTCCACTGTGTGCAACATTAGCTACAGTGCCATGGGCTGTAAACATATTGACAATCTCCCTAGACGCGGTCGAAAGAGAAAATTTGATCAAAGATTGCAATGAAGGATTGTTTAAATGGTGGATAAAAAACCTTGATCAACTTTCACACAAATTCAATCTGACCTTCAGGCCCAGGGTACAAATGCATCAGCTTACACTATAAGCCGCCATCTGAATGAAAAGGGATGCTATGGTAGGAGACCCAGGAGGACCACACTGCTAACACAGAAACATAAAAATGCCAGATTGGAGTTTGCCAAAACAGACCTGAGTAAGCCAAAATCCTTTTGGGAGAATGTGCTATGGATAGACTAAACAAAAAGGCCTCATTGCTTTTTGTGAAAATAATACAGTCCAATATGGTGGAGGTTCACTGATGTTTTGGGGTTGCTCTGCTGCTTCAAGCATTGGATGTCTTGACCGTGTGTATAGCATTATGAAATCTGAAGAGTACCAAAGAATTCTGGAGTGCAATGTAGGGCCCAGTGTCAGAAAGCTGGGTCTCCGTCAGAAGTCATGGGTCTTACAGCAGGACACTGACCCAAATCACATGTCCAAAAGCACCCAAAAATGGTTTAAAACAAATGCCGGAGAGTACTGAACTGGCCAGCAATGAGTCCAGATCTAAATCCCATAGATTACCTGGGACAGAAAAACAGCAGTTAGGAAAAGGAACCCTTCTAATTTAGGAGACCTGGAGCAGTTGGAGAAAAGAAGAGTGGTCCAAAATTCCAGTAACGGGGTGTAAAACTCATTGATAGTTACAAAAAGCGAATGATTTCAGTTATTTTTTTTTCCAGTAGGCGTACTACCAATTATTAAATTGAGGGTGCCAATAATTTTGTCCAGCCCATTTTTGGGGGTTTGCATGGAAGGTGTCAGATTTGGCTTTTTGTTTCTGCACTTTTTATGTGTCATACCAATACAAACAAAAGAGATAAATATGAGAATGCCTAAACATTTGTAGTTGCAACAATTTTCTGGGCAAAGTGGTGTATTATCTCACAAAAATGCAGGGGTGCCAGTATTTTTGGCCATGACTGTATAAGGCTTCATGCACACTAGAAAAGCTAAAAAACTGCTTTAGAAATGCTGGACAAAAAAAGTTAATATTTTAGCATTTTTTTTGCCGCCGTTTAGCCTAGTGTGTAAACTACGTTTAGTAGCTTCAGCATTAAGCAGCGGGGCATGCAGAGTCCTTAATGACCAGTGAACAACAATGGATAAGTCATCAGCTCATCCATTTCCCCGACCCAGCATGCCCAAGTCGCTGATGTCACAAGGGGCAGGGTCACTCAGTAATTTCATTTTTTTTTTTTCTTTTTTCGGATCAGTGGTGGTGGTGTTCATTGTGACTGACTATGAACTACACCAGGGACATTTTTTTTAAAATTTTTTTTAATAAAGGACTTGTCATAAACGTGTGTTGTGTTTTTATTTACTTTTTTGGTGAATGAGTAGGGGTTACTTTTTACCTCATACTCATTCAGATGGGGAGGGGGCGGGATCTGGGGGCCCCTTTATTAAAATGGACTTCCAGATTCCGATAAGCCTCACCTCCCGCAGACCTGTCACAAACACCAGCCAGGGTTGTGAGGAAAAGGCCCTTGTCCCCATCAACATGGGGACTTTCCAGGACCGCTCCTTAACCAGCTATTCACTGGTTGTTAAGGATGCCTACAGCTTAAAAAAAAAACAAAAAAAACTCTTGTTTAGTAGAGTTAGAAGCTGTCAGTATTTGCCTACCGAAACGTTGCTGCTCCAGAATGCACTAGCAGAGGGTTTAATTTTTTCCTGCCACTAAAAACTCTTCTGCCAGAAAACGCTGCTAAGAGCCTATGTGTGCATGAACACACAGGACACCATGCAGTTTAGAGGCAAGGAAAAAAAAACATCTGATGCCCAAAACGGCAGTTGTAAAAATGCCCAGTGTGCATGAGGCCTTAATTGTGCTGTAATTAATTCAGAGAAGGGTTATAATTATTTTTCTCTTTCAAAATATGATTTACTAGAATCAAGGACACATGGACAGGATATTACTAGTCCCTTTTACATTTTAATAAAGAAAATTTGTATGTCCACTAACCCTTATGACATTGTATCGGTTTAAAAACTCCTCCAGCATTGCCTCCATCTCTGTGCTCACGGATAGAGTTCTGCATCTACACACACGGAAAAAAAAAGCTTTACTGAAGTGACATTTACTTACTCATGTATAATATTAGACAGAATTTCACAAGCAGATGACTTATTATAAACATTTTAAAAGAATAAAAAGAACAACCCACAGCAGAGGGAGAAAAAAATTTAGATTTTTGGTTTACCTGTAAAATTCTTTTCTTAGAGCAGGACACAGGGCATATTCATATCTATTACAATAGGGCTTTGTTGTTACCTTCAGGTGATTGAACACTGACAAATCTCTGCCCAATAATACCCTCTTCCAGCTCAGCAGTCTCAGGGATCATTCACACTGGCTTAAAAAAACTTCAGTGCTCTTGGCAGAAAGAAACACTAATTTTGAGCGTTTTGCACTTGCATTTAGTGCACTCTTTTTTTTTTTCTGCCTCTAAACGCCAAGCTTAAAATGTGCCTCTAAACGACCTAATGTGCATGGACACATAGGACAACATTAGTTGCTTCCACAGGCAAAACTCTAAATTCCTCTAGGAGCAGCACTCTTGTAAGCCTGTGTGCATGGACACACTATTGTACATCACAGGACATCTTCATATCCATTACAATAGGGATGTCCCATAGCACTGAACATGAGGCGAGAGTGACACAAACCAACAGCTGTGTGGAATGAGCTGTTATCGGGAACAGTTTGAACATTTCCTTTAAGGCTGTAAGTCTGAGAAATAGGTTGAGATATCCATTTTGAAATGGTAGTTTTCTTTAACCTGCTTGACCTTTTCTCGGCCTTCAGGGGGGGGGAGAGGGGGGGGAGAGGGGGGGGGAGAGGGGGGGGAGGGGGAGGGGGGGAGGGGGGGGGAGAGAGAGAGAGAGGGGGGGGAGGGGGAGAGAATGAGGGGGAGGGGGAGAGAGAGTGGAGGGAGGGGAGAGAGGGGGGGGAGAGAGGGGGGGAGAGGGGGGGGAGAGGGGGAGGGGATTTGTGTTTTTGTTGCCTAGTGCAGCACAAAACCTCAATACACCAGTGTCAAGAAGGTAGATGCAAGTACGCTCAGTTACTGTAGTGTCGTTCTTGGGGCGGCCGAGGCAGGAGATCAAGTAAACTAGGGCACAGAGCCCTGACCCGCACTGGGGCACGGCACCACGTAAGGGAGGAGGGGAGCACAGGAGACATGGGGAATAAACAACCTATAAGCCCCCCATAAGGTACAGCCACCAGAAGGCACTCACAAGTCTACATTGCAGGACCCCAAGAGGGACCAAACATCCACCTTGGCAGGCACATAACTAGGAACTACCCAGTTGGGTACTATTCCTCCAGGCCATAACCATGGGCAACAGATCTGGATAAAACTGGTCTCCTGTTCCCGATGCGTAATTTGAGCAAACACCAGATAGAAAAGGGTAATTGTGCAGAGACTGCATAGATATGACCATCACCTAAGGACACTAGCAAAAAATGAGACTGTTCTGAGTTGCAAAGGATTATGCCTGGGTTGGAGATTCTGGTCTTTTTTGTCAGTGTCCAGTCACCCTATTGTAATGGGTAAGAAGATGCCCTGAGATGTATGAAGACATACTTGGAAATTAGGAGAAAGGTGAACAGAAAAACATTAAGGAACAACCCTTCAAAGAGTTTGTCAGCAAAAAGAGATAAATACAAATTTTATTTTGTTTTTTTTATGCCAGTAAATGTACCCGCTAGTGGTGTACTAAAATGCAAATTCTGGACTGAAACCAAATAATCAGGATGCACTTGGCTAAAAACCAAAACTGAAAACGGACAGTTTTTTTATTGTTAATATATTTTTATATAAAATTGTATTATGTTCGACTTAATAATTAATACCATGAATTTAAATGAATATGAATTTTAAAAAAATCCTGTAATGTAAAATAGCTTTTATTGAAAGTAACACAAAAATTGGACAGAAAATAAAATGAAAAATATAACATTAAAGAAAAAAGTAAAAAGAGGCGATTTACCACTGAAGTCAATGGGACGCAATTTTGCATTGAAGCCAATGGGACGCGATTTACAATTGAAGCCAATGGGACGCGATTTACAATTGAAGCCAATGGGACGCGATTTACCACTGAAGTCAATAGGGAGAGTTTTTGCATTGAAGTCAATTATTATTATTGCCAATTTTTTTTTTAGAAGCAAAAAGCCAATAACCCTATTTTCAGCCGATAATTTTCGGTGCCCGATATATCGGTGCATCACTAGTACTCGCAAAAAGGAATAGTCAGTATGATTACCTCTTCTTCCACTGACTGGTATTCTTTGTCATCTGGAGCAAGATCCAGCAAAACAGTGCCTTGACTAACACAGTGAAAGGTCAGATAAGGATTGGTTCCTGAAATGAAGGATAACTCATTCAAACAATATGTTACAATATCTGAGCAGAGAAAATAGTTAACAAAGTCCCAATATAGAAAACAATAGCATCAAAATCTGAATTGAAACAGCAAAGTCCTTGAAAAGAAAGTTTTGAAGTTTAATTGTGTAAAATGTTAAATTTAACAAAAACTGTAAAATCACTTTCTTTGCCACTGCTGAAATGACTTTTGGAAAACACATACAAGGCAATTAGAGTTCTGTGCTAAATAATGTTAAACACCGTGCAACAGAAATATTATTGAATAGTGTTTGTTTTAAAAGTTATTTTCAGAGTCAAAAACGTCATCTTAAAGCCGATTTTTTTTTTTACCATTGACCCCAGCCGGTGCTAAAAAAAGCATCTTAGGTTGCAATACTCAATTCTTTAATCTTAAATTGTTCAATTTTCATCACAAGATGTCCATTCTATTGTGGACTGAATGAAATTGTCATTCAACCCAGACTGAGGAGATACTGTGAGTGCAGTAAAACATATGGTAAAGTGGGGAAGGCGTAAACCGGGGGGGAGGGGTGTTAGCTGGCTGAACCCAGAGTTGGGCTTTAAATTGTAACAAGGGGGCTACAAAAAGCAGGAACTAAGTGACAGATGGTCATTTTGTGTTTTTTTAAATACACTTATCTTTTAGTGCTTGCATAACCTAAAACCATTATGCCATATTAATTCAAGTGATATGTTACAGTGCATGGTGCTACAGCTGTGTTATTTAGGGTACAACATCTCTGCTGGTTAGACATGTTAATTATTTGTTTTTATGTTTTGTATGATGGTAAACTTTAAAGACAAATTCTAGGTGTATATATTTGTTTTATCGTTACATTGGTCCAGCTTGGACCAATGTAATTCTGAATATACCATACCTGGCTGATCCCCCTGCAAACTAGAAATCATCTGCTTCAAAATCCCCTGCTGAATTATGAACACAGGTCGTCAGTCACTTTGAACAGACGCCATCTAGAAAACTGCTTATAACTTTCTGAATGAATCCAAGGTATTCTCTGACTGGATGAGGTGGAGAGCCTGACATCAACCTTTTGTGTGAAGTTCCGCTTTAAGTTGCCTATAAGCAACTAATAGTCTCTCAGTCTTTTTTTGGCTTTTATTAGGAGTCAAATCCATTGTCTATTGGGCAATACTGTATGGCTGATTATACCAAGTCATCTAGCTGGCTGAAACTTTATTTATTTTTCACCATAGCATGGTCTTGCACTTTTGCAGCCGTATGTCAACTTGCATCTGCAGCTTCTGCGCGGCTCACTGAGCACGCACCCGGGTGCCAAGTGATCATTATATTGCCCGAACACAGCGGATCACATTACCGCTGTATCCAGGAGATCACATGGTGTTTTACCATGTGACTGCTGTGACCAATCACATTGTAAACACTGTAAAGAGAAAGTAAAGATTGTTGCTCAGTGTGAGAGCAGAGAGAAGCAATCCTGCAGCCTGTGAGTGTACAGCAGCCTGTCAGGTGTCGGCCACCCCAGTATCCCAGTTTAGTGCCCCTAATCACTGCCGCAGTATATCCATAATAAATAATGCAGCCAGCCCTTGTTCACCTGTCTCAGTGCACACAAAAACAACCCCCATACACCATACCAATGTCCTTGATCACCGCCATACCCTAAACCAAGGCCCTGATCACCGCCATACTCCATACCAACACCCTGATCACTGCCATAGCCCATACCAAAACCCTGATCACCGTCAACTGCCATACCAATACCCTTTTCACTGCCAATCAGCATAGCAGCACCTTGATCACTGCCATACCCCATACCAGTGTTCTGATCACCACCATACCAGCAATCTGATCACCAGCATCCTAATCATCATCATACCCTATACCAGCATCCTGATAGCCCCATACACATACTAGCGTGCTGATCACCGCCATACCAGCGTCCTGATCACCACCATACCCGTACCAGCGTCCTGATCACCACCATACCCCGTACCAGCGTCCTGATCACCACCATACCCCCAAACTAGCTTCCAGATCACAGCCATAGCCCATACCAGCATTCTGATCACCACACCAGCATTCTGAACACTGCCATACCCTATACCAGCATTCTGAACACAGCCATACCCCATACCAGCATTCTGATCACCGCTATACCCCACGCCAGCATCCAGATCACCGCCATACCCCAATACCAGAGTTCTGATCACCACCATACCCTATACCAGCATTCTGATCACAGTCATACCCCATGCCAGCGTTCTGAACACTGCAATACCCCACGCCAGCATCCTGATGACAAAAATTTCATATGGGTACAGTGTTGCATAACTGAGTAATTGTCACTCAAAGTGTGATAGTGCTAAAAGCTGAAAATTGGCCTAGACTGGAAGGGGGTGAAAGTGTCCGGACATGAAGTGGTTAAAAATGCATTGATCTTATTGCCTGTCAGTTGCTGTACAGACATTTAATACCATTTCTTTAAAAGCCATTAAACATGTGTTTCAATGCCTAACAGATTAAATGAATAGATAAGTGTAAGTGGTGGCTATAAGTATGAACTCCAGTCAGATATTAAAAAGAAATAACATTTCTGTTATGTGTTTGTTGATTAAAAAAGTTATTGCAATCGGAAATGCAACTAGAGTAAACAGTGTTGGAGTTTCGCCTGTCTGACTTGATGGGAAGGTTAGGGATAGCTGCAGCAGGCATGTAGCTGCATTTTATTACTTTATGACACTGGTTCTTTTATCTTGAAACTTACAATTCATGTTTGTTGTTTTATGATTTGCAGGCCCAGGTCCATTATTTGCATAATTGGAAATTATGGAACATAAAACATGAAATAACATTTTTGTTGACACAGATACTTGCTTACCTTGTTGGCCTCCAAGCAGCCTCTCAACTCCTTTATCAATTTGTGCCTGTGGCCATATGCATTGATTCCAATTTCCTTCAGCTCTTCGTGACCCATATCTGCCAGTACATCTAATGTAATCTAAAATGGCAAAAAACAAAACCACAAACATTACCATATGCAGGATTATCACAGCAAAATAATTGGAGATTTGCACGGCATGGAAGGGCAATTACTACTTCAAGGAATCTAAACCACTACGCACTTATTTTGTCTCACTCACTGAACTCATGTAACTCACAAGAAGAGGCGTGGTTTGCAGTGCACCATTAGATGACTAATTTGCACATTTAAATACTTTATTTTAATGAAATATAAGGCTTATTATATGCCGTATCACAATTCACACAGCCTGAGTCAGTAGAGGGATCACTGACTGCAGGCAGCAAGGTACCATGGGATATACAGTCCTGAGAAACTAAAAATAAACAGCAGAGGAGAAGCTGCAAAGCATACAGCGAATCCAGGAATTTGAGAAAAGAGATGATCAGCAGACAAGCAGCAATCACAACAGGAAAGACGATTTTTAATATACGAATATATTGGATTGTCGAATACAACTACTGTTTGTATTGCTGTTACAATAGTGATCTTATAAAATAAATGTGTATGCTGTTAACACAAAACTCCTTTAGAGGGATCATTAGTATGAAGGATTTAAACAGGGTGAGACCAGTGAATCTATACGATATCAGATGATGCGGCAAAACTATTAATAGTTGCTTTTATTTCTATTGGTATAATCCCTTTCCAAACCCTATCACATAAACTCTAGCTGAACTAAGAAAGGTTTTGTGGTACATGTGGAAAACAAGTCTGTAATTCATCACTTTCTCCCTTTATGTATATTAAATATAATATCTTGGAATATTCAAAGAACAAATTCCAAAGCTTAAAGAGCACCTGTTGAGAATGAAATAGAACTTCAAAACTTATACATCGACATATTACAAGAAATAAATTCAGATGTGTGGGATATACAGGTGAAACTCAAAAAATTTGAATATCGTGCAAAAGTTCATTTATTTCAGTAATGCAACGTAAAAGGTGAAACTAATATATGAGATAGACTCATTACATGCAAAGCAAGATAGTTCAAGCCGTGATTTGTCATAATTGGATGAGTATGGCTTACAGCTCATGAAAACCCCAAATCCACAATCTCAGAAAATTAGAATATTACATGCAATCAATAAAACAAGGATTGTACATAAAACAATATCGGACCTCTGAAAAGTATAAGCATGCATATGTACTTAGTACTTGGTTTGGGCCCCTTTTGCAGCAATTACTGCCTCAATGGGGCGTGGCATGGAAGCCATCAGCCTGTGGCACTGCTGAGGTGTTATGGAAGACCAGGATGCTTCAATAGCAGCCTTCAGCTCTTCTGCATTGTTCGGTCTCATGTCTCTCATCTTTCTCTTGGCAATGCCCCATAGACTCTCTATGGGGTTTCAGGTCAGGCGAGTTTGCTGACCAATCAAGCACAGTAATCCCACGGTCACTGAACCAGATTTTGGTGCTTTTGGCAGTGTGGGCAGGTGCAAAGTCATGCTTGAAAATGAAGTCAGCATCCCCATAAAGCTAGTCTGTGGAAGGAAGCATGAAGTGCTCCAAAATCTCCTGGTAGACGGCTGCATTGACAATGGACTTAATGAAGCACAGTGGACCAACACCAGCAGATGACATGGCTCCCCAAATCAACACAGACTGTGGAAACTTCACACTGGACTTCAAGCATCTTGCAGTGTGTGCCTCTCCATTCTTCCTCCATACTTTGCGTCCTTGGTTTCCAAATGAGATGCAAAAGTTGCTCTCATCAGAAAAGAGGACTTTGGACCACTGAACAACAGACCAGGTCTGTTTTTCTTTAGCCCAGGTAAGACGCTTCTGACGTTGTTTGTTGTTCAGGAGCGGCTTGACAAGAGGAATACGACATTTGAAGCCCATGTCCAGGATCCGTCTGTGTGGTGGCTCTTGATGCACTGACTCCAGCCTCAGTCCACTCCTTGTGAAAGTCCCCAACACTTTTGAATGGCCTTTTCCTGACAATCCTCTCCAGGCTGCGGTCATCCCTGCTGCTTGTGCACCTTTTTCTTCCACACTTTTCCCTTCCACATAACTTTCTATAAATGTGCTTTGATACAGCACTTTGGGAACATCCAACTTCTTTTGCAATTACCTTTTGAGGCTTTCCCTCCTTATGGAGGGTGTCAATGATGGTTTTCTGCACAACTGTCAGGTCAGCAGTCTTTCCCATGATTGGGATTCCTACTGAACCAGACTGAGAGACCATTTAAAGGCTCAGGAACCCTTTGCAGGTGTTATGGCTTAATTAGCTGATTAGAGTGGGACACTTTGAGCCTACAATATTGCACCTTTTCATAATATTCTAATTTTCTGAGATTGTGGATTTGGGGTTTTCATGAGCTGTAAGCCATAATCATCACAATTATGACAAATCATGGCTTGAACTATCTTGTTTTTCATGTAATGAATCTCTCTCATATATTAGTTTCACCTTTTAAGTTGCATGACTGAAATAAATTAACTTTTGCATGATATTTAATTTTTTTGAGTTTCACCTGTATGTGTTAAAATATAATCTAATTACTAAAACAGGTAACAGAATATATAGGGCTATGGGAATTGTTAAAGAATAAAAATCATACAGACACACAGGTTGTATGTACCTGTATAATTTAAGTCCAATGGGAAGTTTACTGGACCAGCTGGGAAAGGAAGATATGCAAATAACCCATTTTAGAGTGGCTTAACTGTTCCCAAAAAGGCAAGCAGGGGGCAAATGGCTAGTCAACAGTATTGCCCGTGAAAGCCGATCTTTCGACATTACTGAGGTACCATGCCTTGTTCTATACTGCCTCTGCGTGGAGGTAGCCATCTGCAGGGTTTTGCTTCCTAACGTTGGAACCTCTAGCAATGGGGAAAAGTGAGCGGCACAACAGTGACTTCACCAAATCTCACTCTAAATCAGGCAGCCTGTGCCTTAGAGCGTACACAGCTGTCATACAACTAAGTTTGTAGGCATAGGAGTGCCTATGCATCATCACATACCAGAAGTGCACTGCTATTTTTTTTTAGTTTTTAAACTAATTCAAGATACATTTTCAGGGTGTTGCATTGGAAAAATTAACATGTCTAAATGTTAGTTTTTTACTTTTCAGCAAATTTTAACTTTTTTAGTTCAAGCCCACTTTAATATTTATTAAGGGTTTATAAAGCTAGATATACATTATAAGGAAATGCTGACTTCTATATCTTTCACCTAGTTGCCAAGAGTATGTCAGCAATGACGGTATATTTTAAACTTAAAAACGACCCCCTGAGGCCCACAGAGGATCCCCTAATCAAGTCACATAATTGGTTGATGTAACGGGTAGACCAGAGCTGGTGACGTCACGTCGCTAATTTTGTTGGAGATTAACCATACTATGAGCCTGGATACTGAAGTACACCAGTTATATTGTACATTATAAGTTAGATATATTTTAATCTTTTAATAAAATATTGGTACCCATACAGGCAGCACTATACATCTTATTTTTTGAGAGAATCTCATGTGTATATTGCAGAGGATAGAGGTGGATTGAAATCACCAGTGGCAAGGAGGAGGAAAGAGCAACCGAAATAAAGGAGACCCCACTATAAGGGAAAGTCCTATCTTTGGGTCAAACCATTAAGGTGAAAGCATATAAAAATAGGTGATGGGAGAGATACGTGTGTGATAAGAAGAGTGGAGAATATATAAACGCACTAAGGAATCAAGGTTTTGCACAAATACCAGGACTGTTGAGGAAATTTTATGTCATCTGGACATTTGGAATTTTATTTGATTATATTTTGAAATTTATTTGATTATGTTTTATTTGGATATATGTGACATATATTACATTGTTATATGTTTGTTAGGACAACACACTTTATATTTTAGATGGATTAATCATTTGCCCTCCTGGGGATTTACCCCCCTTCCTGACCAGGCAATTTTTTGCTGCTCGGCACTGCGCTATTTCAACTGGTAATTGCGCGGTCGTGCAATGCTGTACCCAAACAGTTTATGTCCTTTTTCCCACACAAATAGAGCTTTTTTTTGGTGGTATTTGATCACCTATGCGGTTTTTCAGTTTCGCGCTATAAACAAAAAAGACTGCAAATTTTAAAAAAAAAAAAAAAAAACTTAATTTTTTCACTTTTGGTTATAAAAAATCTCCAATAAACTCAAAAAATAGTCAGAAATTTAGGCTTAAATGTATTCTGCTACATGTCTTTGGTTAAAAAAAATATCAATACATGTATATTAATTGGTTTGTGTGAAAGTTATAGCGTCTACAAACTATGGTATTATATATATATTTATATATATATATATATATATATATATATATATATATATATATATATATATATATATATATATATATATATTATTATTATATATATTTTATTGAAATTTACGTAGCTTTTACTTTCTGACTGCCCATCACATTTCTTGAGGTGCTAAAAATGCCAGGGCAGTACAACCCCCCTCAAAGGATCCCTTGTTGGAAAGTAGACACCCCAAGGATTTTGCAGAGAGGCATGTTGAGTCCATGGAACATTTTATTTTTTTGGCACAAATTTTTTGAATATGATCATTTTCTTTTTTACACATAGTTGTCACTTTAATGATATATTGCTCATGCATGCCATGGGTATATGTGGAAAAACACCCCAAAACACATTCTCCTATTTCTTCGGAGTATGGGGATACCATATATGAGAGACTTTTCGGCAGCCTAGCTACATACAAGCCCCCAAAATCCAATGACCACCTCCAGGCTTTCAAAGGGCATATTTCTTCATATCACTTCCCCACTACCTATCACAGTTTCGGAGGCTCTAAAATGCCAGGATAGTACAAAAGCTCCCCCCCCCCCCCACCAAAATTACTTCTTTTTGGAAAGTAAACACCCCAAGGAATTTGATAAGAGGCATGGTATTTTATAGATATCATTTATGTCACAAGGTTTTGAAAAAGAAAAAATTAATTTTTTGTTTTCTTTCTTCGTTTTCCAAAAACGTGGCAACAAATGAGATCTGCAAAACACTCACCATGCCTCTTAGCAACTACCTTTGAGTGTCTGTTTTCCAAAAACGGGTCATTTTTACTATCCTGGCATTTTAGGGCCAGCATTAGAAGCTTATGCCACACATCACCCACTCTTGAAGACCAAGGTCAATTCACAATTCAAGATTGGTGTGATCAGATGCTTTCCCAATTCACAAATAGTGCTGTTTATATCCTGTGAAACTGAAGTGATGAAATGCACGTAGCTCCCGGTGTCTTAGATTATGGAGATGATTGGAGCCATTCTGGTCTCTGATCAGCTCTATGGTCAGCCAGCGGAACTGCCAGCTGCATTCCCGGATTCCCCTGTGGGACAGGAGAGCCTAACAAAACTGTGGAAGGCAAGGGGGGGGGGGGGGGGGGTGTCCCTTCCCACTGCTCGTAAAAACAATTCAGCAGCTAATTGACCACTAGGATTACATGAAAGCTGACCGCCAGCTGAAAAAAAAAAAAAAAAAAACAGTACCAGAATGATGCCTGTAGCTGCAGGCATCATCCCGGTTTAACCGTTTCAATACCGTGCAATTTTACACCTTCCTGCCCAGGCCATTTTTCAGGTTTCAACGCTCTCACACTTTGAATGACAATTGCGCGGTCATACAACACTGTACCCAAACTAAAATTTTATCATTTTCTTCACACAACTAGAGCTTTCTTTTGGTGGTATTTAATCACCGCTGGGGTTTTTATTTTTTGCTAAATTAACAAAAAAAGACCAAAAATTTTGAAAAAAAAAAAAAACATTTTTCTTTGTTTCTGTTATAAAAGTTTACAAATAAATAATTGTTCTTCATAAATTTAGGCCGAGATGTACATGTCTTTGGTGAAAATAACCCAAATTAGGATGTATTTTTTAGTTTGTAGGAAAGTTATAGAGTTCACAAACTATGGTATAGATCTGATTATTGATCAATCCTGAAGTACTGACAGCCAATCTAATTTCTTGAGGTCCAAGAATGTCAGAATAGTACAGATATCCCCAAATGACCCTTTTTGCAGAGTAGACAGTCCGACGTACTTCATAAGAGGCATGGCGAGTTTTTGAAGTTGTATTTTTTTGTCATAATTTTTCGGAAAATAAAAAAATTAAAAAAAATTATTTTCACTATTTTTTTTTACATACTGTCACCAGTGCAGTACAGCATCATCATATAACTGGCATGGCGGTGAACAGGGACACTGACTGGTGACAGTATGAAAAAAAATATATATATATATATATTTTTTTTTTTTTTTAAGATTTTTTTTCATATTTTACTATGACCAAAGTAGTACAATGTTACCATAGTAACATTGTACTACTTTGGGGAAGTGATCAGTATTTTTTTTTTTTTTTTTTTTTACACAATTTGCTTATAGCAAAGAATTACTTTGCTATAAGCAAGCATTTACCTGAATGAAATCGATTCATTCAGCTTTTTTTTTTTTTTGTGCTTAGCTGTGATTTGGTCACAGCTAATCACATGACATGTGCATGTGATTAGCTGTGACCATTCGCAGGTAGGCACTAGTATACAATGGATGGCATCATGAATGAAGCCATCCATTGTATACAACTGTCATGTGACCTGCTGTGATTGGTCACAGCAGGTCACATGGTACCAGCAACGGGAGCCGGTACTCGGATATGTCATCGGCCGTGGCCGAGGTGCACGGCCGGTGACAGATCGCACTGCTGCGCCGCTCTGCATTAACGCAAACGGCGCATGTGCGGGAGCACGCCAAATGGCGTGCACCCGGAATGCAGGGACACATTTGAAGCCGCCAAACGGTCATTGGCCGGGCGGCTAATGGTTAACCACTCAAAGTACAGCGACGTATCAGTACATTGCTGGTCTATG